ATGGGGAAATGCGGCTGATTCAGAAACTATTTTTATTTTACAGAAGAGTCTCTTAGAGATAAATTTAAAGAAATAAATATATTAACTTTGGCCTCTCAGTATATTTAACAACACAATTATATAGAGGAATTTCCTTAATATGACGGTTGAAATTTTACTTTAATTTCTTTTTAATTACTGTATTTAATAAATACAATATAAAATATATATGTATACAGGTAAAATTCTATCCTGTATTTAGAAAAAAATAAGTATATGGAGAAAAAAAATAAAAATAATTTTTCATCTTTTTAATCGAAGTTCGGTTCGACTTAGTCTAACCGAACTAAGTCATTTTCATCTACGATTGAAAATTCTACTTCATTAAATGTGCCCCGGGATTTTCTGCAAAATGGTTTACTTTGACGATACTCCAAAACCGTCTTGCGTTTTTTAAATGTTTCCCACCTAAATTTTATTAATTTTTCAAATATTTTTGTCCACAAAATAAACAATTGGAACTATTGTCACTTATTGTTGTAACAAACTTACTGCACTGAAACTTTTTTAAAATATTTTGCGACTTTGGCTTGTGCAAATCGTCAGATTATGTTATTTCCGTGATCGGTGACTAATTTCCTTCAAAATAAAAAAAAACCTTGCTCGAGAATGTCCAGGTAACGTTTTTTTTTTGCAACTTTGTGACTCTCCCATTTTCATAAGTCACGCTCAAATTATCAGATTATTGAAATGCACACTTTTCTTCATGTAATTAACTTGCCTTAATCTGACGCGCTTTTACTAATCTTTTCGGCTCCCCTAGACGCTCGACCCTATACGAAGGGCTCAGGTATGGTGCGAGTACTCAACAGGGTGCAAGGTTTCCCCTCTTGTGAAATTCTGCCCCGCTTTAGTAAATTGCAAAATCCCCGCTTGGGCTCCCCTACTATAAAGACATGACAGTAATTAAAATTCAATATGGCGACAACCATATTGCATATGAGAAAATAATTAAAGTCGACCAACTATGTCAAGTGGGGTATTATTGATTAGGTCTTTTAAAATCATATTTAGGTTTCCCTAATAATTTTTTATTTTGAATGGCCACTTAGGATCTATAAGGATTTAAAGTTTGTTAGCGACCACTCTCGCATACATTTTCAAAACTTATAGTAAAGCTGTGATGAAGTTCTCATATAATCGTACAAGTATATAATGGGTATTGTTCGTTATTTTTTTACGCAGTCGGGATTTTTTCATAAACTGTATTAACTTTGTATATAAGAGAAAGCCTTTAAGTAGGAAGGTTTTAATAGTTACAACAGTCACCATGTACTTCTAGGCACAGAGTACCTTCCATTTGGGGATAATTACGATGCCGGGAAGAAATTGACACGCCGTAATTTCATATAAATACCTAGATTATTTAGTAACTAATATTAGCTCATGAAATTGTTTGTTGTAATTGCAATAGTAAACAGATAATGAGTTCGTTTAAATTCCTTCACGTGCTCGACTGACAAATTAATATGTCCATGACATGTGAAGTCCGCCAACCTGTTTCGGTTAAAACAATGCATTATTGTTATTCTTCAGTCCCAAAAGTCCACAACAAGACATGAAGCCTCCCCCCCCCTCCCACTTGTAGGTATTATTTGCCGTAATCGTCATGCCTGACGGAGGAATTGACAGTCGTAGTGCCAGACGTCTTGTCCCTTCGACGCTGCTTTCCGTCTCCAGTTTATATATTTACGTCTGGTGTACACGAGGTGCTTATAGCGCCATCTATCAGAGACCATATGAAACTTCTAGTATTTTCTATAGTCGCATCTTACAACACTCAGGATGAAATGGAGTAATAGATTGACTAGCGCCACCACCACACGGCTCTTACAGATAACGATTATTTAAAGATATTTATGCGTGGTAGAGACATGCTGCAGTATTATGGTTGCAGCATGAATGGGTCGGCTCGACCAGGGTAGGACCTCTCACATAATACCATCTTAAAATAGCAGTGTAAGGATACTGTATTTCTTAAGTGTACAGAACCGGAGACTGTTTTTACTGGAAACAAGGCATTCCATTTTAGTCCTCAGAGGTGACAACGCAAATGTGGATGTCTATGAACCACAGCATACTCTTTGGGATTTAATTCTACATAACATAATACATACAAACAAGCATGCCTGACACACAGAGGGCTAGTCAGAGACAACGGACTTCCATTTGGCACGATCCTGACACCTTTAATTCTTTGATGATCTTTGTCTTAACTAAACTTCAAAAACTATTAACTTATGTGGAAAATATTTTATTATTTTTAGCTTTTTGGAGTACCTATGTCTTAAAATTTTTAAAGTTTAATTGTAATTTGTAAATATAGTAAGATCTTTAGTGATTTTAGGTAAAGAGTTAAATCAGAAAAAGAAATACATGTGGAAAATCAAAAAATATTTTAAGCAAAGCTTAGAATTCACAATGGCATATAGACGAATAATGGGCAATAAAAGGCATAAAACGTTTATCAATAATAATATACTACGAAAGGAACTTCATTCGAACCGAGTGTTCCACGACACTCATGCATATTTTTTCATTTGTGACTGAAGAAAACTTGATACTTTATTTATTTAATAAAGTATCAAGTTTTTTCAGTATAAATATAAGCAGCACATAAATAAGATGCAGTGTTTTATTCGTAATACAGGCACTTGAAGTTTTTTTTTTAATTTTAAAGATATTTATTTTTCTCATCCAAATCACCCACGTCCTGTGAAATTTACAAAATAACTCTATTAAAGCTCTTTACTCACTGCTCACTTACCATCAGGTGGACTGTGTGCTCGTTTGTCACTTTTATTCTATAAAAAAAGAGATATAAATATTTTTCAATGCGGCGCAAATTAGTCTGACACATTTGCGTCTTGCCTGCTCATTCGTTTATTTACAGCCAATCAAAGGTCTAGTGCTGAATATAGGTCATATTTTAAGGTAAGTAACACAAAGCAAACAAATAAAAAATGATAAACACTAAAAAAAACATTGTAACATACGAGTACGGTTTTGAGATTAATCTATATAAATAAAATACAAGAGGTTTGCAGTTGTGCGCGCATCACGGAAAAACTACTGGATAGATTTCAATTAGCTTTTCTAAGTTTTATTTATTTGCTTATTTTTTTTTAAACGTTACCTTCACACTAGGATTTTCTCCTATATTCAGGAGCAGTTCAAATACATAGATTTCACAAGGACAAGCTTCCAGACCCAGAACAAGTATTTGTTGGCCATACAAATACTTGATCCGTGCGGAAATTCGAACCCGCGAGCTTTAGCTCTGAAACTCATTGCTAAGCCACTGCACCACGGAGCCGTCGACTTTCTTAGACACGGCCCTTATCAAAAAAAAATATTGCGATATTTTCATTTAATATATATTAAAGTTTTAAGAAACAAATATTTTTATAAGCGAAAACTTTGTTATTAAATTGTCCGTGTTGCTTTATCAAGCAAACGTTTAAAAACGTTTAAAAACACGCATTGATCGTGAGCTGCGACGACTCTAGAGTGAATGATCCTGGTGATCTTGATCAGGATACTAGGATACACTTATTATTGTATTGTCATCGGTCCTTAATACGAGCAAATTTTCAAATCAATCAACAAGTTGATGAAAATTACATTAACATATTCCGTTCCGTTACATAGATAGGTATATATATATATATATATATATATATATATATATATATATATATATATATATATATATATATATATAGACACGCGAAGTGATAAAAGCGTGAAAATACATTTATTTTTCTATGAAAGTCATGTAATTTAGAGTTTTGAATAACAGTTTACGTATTCTGTTCAGATCGTTTATTCAAATGTTACATCATTTGCTTATTTTTCTTTTCTTTTTAGTTTCATTTATTCGATATTACGTATGAACGTATGATGGACTATAATATATTGAGACTGAAGCTGTATAGTTTCCTACGAGAACATTTGTCCAGATATTTACTAAAAATGAAAGTTATTGCCTAATTACATCCCATTGCTAATAATGGAGCAGATCGGATTTTTTTCCTAAACGCGCAAGTTCCCACACAATGCGCCGAACATGTGATAAATTATATATTTATCTTTAACAAAAAGTATCTTTAAAAAGTGGTTGAAACACCGGTTAGCTGCTTAGAAAACCAACTTGCAAGCTTGTGTTACAAGGTGCTCTTGTGACTAAATAAGGCGTTGTAACACATTCAAGTAAACGTACGAGTAGCTAAATTCAAGCCCCGTTAGCAATAGCCTATTGTATAGCCAGTCTGGATAGGAAAGCCTTTTACATCGCTAAAAGCACATAGCCATAATCGGTCATCATATAGCTAAAGTGGCAATGTGGCCATATTGCTTGAAGAACCGACGACCGATGGCAAAGAAATGTTCTCGAATGGCAGTATCGTACTGGTAAATGCAGTTTTGCGCGACTCCCCAAAAAATGGATTGACGTCATATTGAGACAATCATGTAGTCGATGGATGCAAGTGCTGTCTGTGGGAGAGGCATATGTTTAGCGGGGGACTTGTGATGGGCTGTAGTGATAGTAATGGTAATGTAAATATAAGAAAACATATCTGTGATTTTTTTATTTTAGCTTTAGGCAGGAGATGCGTCTAATTATGTTGAACATAAATCCACTATACTTAACAATCCACTTACCTCGATTTAAAAGTAGAAACAATTTATCGAGGTAAGTGTCATTTAGCACATTAGTGGAAAGATCTTTTCACATGATACTTTGCCACAATGCAAAGTGGCAAAGTATCCTTTAAAAATGAGAGGGGGAGTAGTAAGAATTCATGGACGCTAATGCAATGTGATACAGTCGCTCTGGCAATGCAATGCAACGCAGCATTAACATATTAATGACAAAAGATTCTTTTTTTTTCTTTTTCTTTTGAAAAGAAACATACACAACATTACATAAAAGAAAATGTTAATTAGCCAATACTAACTCATTAACCAATCCAGTAGATGCATATCTGTCAGGTCGACTCCTGCGGTAGACCTGCACGATCTCGGTAGGAGGCCGGTAAGGTCTCCTAGCCGGGGTCCGGAGCACAGCCTCGAGCGCCGCTCTTTCAGCTATAGAGACTACGGTTGCGCCCCCTGGCATCGTCTCGGCGAACACCGGCCCGTACCGCCTGAACATGTCTGCGTGCAAATCTCTCATTGTGACGGCGAGGGTGCTGGTAATTTATATTTGAATAGCGCCAACTCGTCTTATTTAAATTTTAATTAACTTTTTAACAATTGAAATAAAATTTCCACGTTATTAATAACACTAAATTAGGAAACGGCTACAGGGTTAGAGTGACACAATACTAATTTTATTAAAAGAATTAGAATTATGAAATGAGTATCCCTTCATTAATTGTATTAACAGCGAAATGGAAATCTGCGAATGCATTTGTGAGATACTAAAATATCTTACCTTCGTAAGCCTCGTGTAGCTTATTCATTTTGTATCGACTCCAAAACAGCCACCTAGTGCCAAGGAGTGGTAAGGCAGGTGGACCAGGAAGGCGCGTTGGGCGCTTGGTGTCTGGCGATCGCGCCAACAATGCTGTGGCCGCCATTACAACCGCTACCAAAACCAAAACCAAAGTAGGAACACCCGACCAGTCCACGAGAGGCGGAGGTGTACTCTGTTAACAAAAAATATATATTTATTGCTACACAATTAATTAAAATCTTGCATACTTTCGACATATCCTTTCTCCTTTTTCTGAGAGGGTTGTAAAGCAAAAATTGTACGTCGTAGAGTCGCGCTACGAGCGTATAAGTCTTGATGAATGAGTCGGCTTGGCGAGGGGAAGACGACTCTTGTACAGAATACGTAATATCGTAAAATAGCAGCTTCATGCTACCGTGTTTCATGGGATGAGTTACGAGAACCGGTAACCCTTTTTACTGGTAACGAGGTATTTAATTTTAGTTCTAAAAGATCGCATCTGCCTGTAACTGTAGTAGTAGTGTCAATAACCACAGAATTCACTGGAGTTAATTTATTATTAATTCATTAGTGATAATCAAGCTATGTGCTTGATTATCACCCTTATTGCCTAATACTCGAACGCTACTCAATTTTAAGATGTCTTTGATATATTATGTTAATTATATATTATAGTAAGACGAAAGTGATGGTTTTTGAAAGAGAAGAAAGTAAAACTTTATGTGAAATAAGAATAGAAGGGGAGTTGATTGAGCAAGTGGATGAGTTTGTATATTTGGGATGAATGAATGAATGAATGAATATACTTTTATTGTACACCACGAACAAATATACAAACGTCATAACAAAATCAGATTATAATATGTACAATTTGGCGGCCTTATCGCTACATAGCGATCTCTTCCAGGCAACCAAAGGTGTAAAGTAATACAAACAATGAATAGGTAGGTGGTAGGTGGTGCAATATAAATATACAAATAATAAATGCAAAAAAAAAAAAAAGATATAAATAACTAAGTAATACATGAAATAATATAAATTACTAACACATAATAAAAGATAAGGTAACACATATAATATATACATATACATACACATATACATACATATATACATACACACATATATATAAACATATATACATAAATATACACACAACACGTATATATCAATATATATATATATATATATACAAAATTCCTCAAACAATAATATAAAACTGATAGATACAATAAATACATAATCACACAATCTATCCTAACGGTCTCCGAACGACTGAGACAAGTAATGCTCTTTAAGTAATCGCTTAAAGATAACAATAGTTTGTGCCTCACGTATATGCAAAGGTAGGGCATTCCAGAGCTTAATAGACTGGACAGTAAAAGATTTATTGAAAAATGATGTATTGTGAGTTGGCACACTTAAAATGAATTTTCTAGAAGAGCGTAAAGGTTCCCCCGGAAGCCCCACAAAATTAAACTTCTCCTTTAGATAGGGAGGAGTAGAAGGGTGAAATAATACACAGTACAGAATAGAAAGTATATGCATGTTCCGGCGAAGTCGGATAGGTAACCACTTGAGACGTGAGCGAAATTGGGAAATATGGTCAAATTTGCGCAATCCAAATATGAACCGAATACTAGTATTTTGAAGTCTCTCAAGCTTATTTAGCTGGTCCTCAGTTATGTCTACATAGCTTGCGTCAGCATAGTCGAGAATCGGAAGGAGAAGAGACTGTGCGAGCATAATTTTTGTAGGAATGGGAAGAAATGATCGAAGGCGACGCAGTGAACAAAGAGCGACAAAAGTTTTCTTACTTACCTCATTCAGTTGGCGTATCCAATTTAAGGAATTATCAATATAAATACCAAGATTTTTGACATTGTCAAAGTAAGGGATAACAACTCCATCGAATACGATAGGTGGTACAGAGAACCAGTCAATTCTTGAGATAAAGCTCTGGCTACCAATAATGATAGCCTGAGACTTTTTAGGATTGACATTTAGGCCATATGATTTACTCCACTCGTGTATAAAATTTAGATCCTTATTTAATGTAGCGATTGCATTCGGCAGATTCTCAAGAGTTGACTGGGTGTAAATCTGGACATCATCCGCATACATGTGGTAGAGAGAGGATATTTTATGAGTGATTGAATTAATGAAAATGGAAAAGAGTAAAGGTGACAACACGCCGCCCTGCGGCACGCCTGCAGTTATATCACACCAAGATGAGTGAGTTTCATCGACACGAATACACTGCCGACGGCCACAGAGATAACTTTGAAACCAGTCAATTACTGATGGAGATATGTTAAGGGAACATAACAGACTCAACAGTATATCGAAGTCAACAGTATTGAACGCATTACTGAAATCCAGCAAGGTCATGACTGTGAGTTGTTTATTATCCATACCCCACCGTATGTCATCAGTAACTTTGATTAAGGCAGTAGCCGTACTATGACCTGGACGGAAACCGGATTGTAAGGAATTCAATAAATTGTGCTTATTAAGGAAAAGGGTCAGCTGTTGGCAAATAAGTTTTTCAAGGACTTTAGAAAGGAAAGGTAAGATCGAGATGGGACGGAAATCAGAGAGGTTGACGGGATTAGATTTCTTTGGAAGGGGTATAATATGAGCACTCTTCCAGGCTTGAGGGAATTTAGAGGAAGAGACACAAGCATTGAGTAAATAAGTGATAATGGGAGTAATAACATCAAGGAGAGGAACAATCATATTACGGCTAATGTTGTCGCTACCGGCAGCATTTGAGGAGATGGATAATATGGTCTTCTTAACATCACATTCAGTAAACTGACTAAAAACGAACGGAGGATAATTAGGAGTCGGAATTACAGAAAGCGAACGAAGTGTTTGCAGTTTATGTTCGCTATCAAAAGAGTTAGAAGGATTAGAAAAATGTTGATTTAATAGTTCAAAATCAACACTAGGAGGTGAAGTATTTAGGGATGTTCTACCAACTCCAACTGTTTTGAGAAACTTCCACACCCTAGATGAGTCGCCGTTCTCGACTGATGTATGAATATGGCGTCGTTGCGCATCTCTACACAATGTGTTGCATCGATTCCTGATTTTGGCGTATTTCCTTACGTTTTCCTCTGTTTTATTCCTCTTAAGCTTTGACAATGCCGCATTCTTCTGCAAAATAAGCTTCTTCAGATCATCAGAGAGCCATGGAGCAGGTAGGTGTTTAAGTCTCACATAATGCATTGGCGCGTGGACGTCATAAAGCTGAGTGAGAAGAGAACAGAACAGTTCCACTTTATCGTCAATGCATGGAGCTCTCTCGATCACTGACCAGTCAATATTATAAGCATCTTCACAAAGTTGTTCAATATCCATTCCTCCAAAATTACGTCGCAGAACTAATTTGGGTTTGATTTTAGGAGGGCGTAGTTTATACGAAAGAAAAATTAAATCGTGATAAGAGAATGCATCAGCAGGGCACTGTCCGTGCTTGAAAACTAAATTGGAAGATGACACCATTATTAAGTCAAGAAGGGAAGGAGTACTGTTAGGAAAGTTATGAGTAGCAGAAAGGGGTAGGATTTGCATATTACACGCTTCAATTATAGCTTCAAGTTTTATAGATCGATTGTCGCCTTTAAGCAAACAGGTGTTAAAGTCACCCATCAAAATAGTGTGACTATACGTAGGGACTAGTGATTCTAAAAGAGATTCAAAAGAAGTAAAATAATTTATAGAAAGGGAGGGACTGTAGAAAACTCCAAGTAGGATTTTATTCTGAGACAGGGAGACCTCAACCAGCAAATGCTCAGCAGAATCAACAGGAGGTGGTTGACTTGACGAACTAACAATTTTAAATGGAAGGTAGGATCTTAGATAGATCGCCACGCCCCCACCACCCCTATTAGTGCGGTCATTTCTAATTAGATGAAACCCAGGCAAAGAATAAGAAGTGGAAGGCAGACAGGGTTTTAGCCAAGATTCTGAAACTAAAATGGCGTGAATATTTTGGGATTCAAATGACGCAAGCATGTCAGGATAATGAGCCGGAATGCTTTGGGCGTTAATATGAATAGCATTAAAGTTATTCACACAGTCTGAGAAAAAAGAATTTAAGGTGATGTTGAGTGAAGGAGGAGCAGTTGTACTGTGATAACTATCATCACTAAGTGTCCCATCGTCCGAAGACAACGATAGAAACAAATCACTATCGTTACAAATGTTTGAGGAGGCCATAAATATTAAATTAAAATATAAAATAAATTCTTATATACACTAAAAAAAAAAGAAAAAAAAAAATATAAATAAAGATCGAAAGGTACCTATACTATTACAACCACCAGCAGCATGAAAGAGAAAGCACATAACAAAACAACAACTTAAAGAAATAAAACAATCAGTTTAATATAAAAATTACCAAAACCTTGCAGTCTGACGCCAATAGATTTTAAGACATTTTGAAACTGTAAACGTCAGACTAGGCAGTATGGATTAAGATGCCTTTGCCAAAGTTATAAAATAAAATAAAAAATAAGAAAGAAATCTGACAACAGGTAACAACTGTCACTGTTAGTATAAATAAAGGTATTTATACGTAAATATTATTAACAAAAAATATAATGATTAATTAATCTACCAGTTATGTGAAATAATTAAAATAATTTCAGTAACAATGTGTGTTGCAGTGGAAACCTATTATAAAACTTATGTCTTAAAAATGAATGGCAAAGAATTATAATTAAAACCTGATTACCTAAAAGTTACAAAAATATAAGAATTGAGCTGCTGGAGTAAATTAGTAAAAACAAAATCATAAGAAAAACATGCCACTACCATCATTTTTTAGCCGTCTTCCTAGCCCTAGCAGTAGTAACACAGGGCTTGGGAGCCGAAGATGCCGCCGCCGCCGTCGCCGCAGTCAAGGATGTGGTAGTAGGGACACCACCAGCTGCATCAGGAATGGCGATCACCTCAGCCACGGTGTACACCCGGTGCTTCGTGCCGTCGGACCCAAGCACCACAACATATCCATCGCGTGTCCAACACTGGGATACACCAAAGCGCTTCCGAGCAGCAACAAACGCCTCATGACGACCCTTAGTCATGAACTCAGATAGAGTAACTCCGCTACCCTTTAGCTTGGTTTTGGAAAACCAAACTTTGTCACGGAGATCCTGATCTTGAAATTTCACGAGCAACACA